TAGCAGTTATGGCCGCTCTCAGTCCTGTCCCCAGGGGCTCTGCCTCTCAGAGTCCCAGCAACCGCTGCAAACCTCGGAGAGAAAGCTGCCTTCGAGTTCCGACCGAAACCAGACAGTCTGGTTTGAGTCTGGGTCCCAGAGACTCACCCGGATCTGGAGCTCAGAGTCTGAGACTCCCTCCCGATTGAAACAGACAACCGCGCCCTCAGCCGCCAGCCCTCTCCGCACGCACTCTGCACCTTAGTATTTTACTTCAGCACTGCGCCTCCTCTGAGTCTCGGTATGCTTTTCTTTTTCTTCCTAGTTGTAGAGCTTCCACTTAGCCAGCCTTCCTGTGGTTCTGGATGATGTCCGTTCCATCTTTTAGTTGTATTTTTGGCGTTAACCTATGCCGCCATCTTGGTTTCTCTGTTCCTAATTTTAATAGCACTTTTTTTCTGCAATGCAGGATCTAATCCTGAATCACACATTGAATTTCATTTTTTTTCATTTTTAAAAAAATATATTTTATTGATTTTTTACAGAGAGGAAGGGAGAGAGATTGAGAGATAGAAACATCGATGAGAGAGAAACATCGATCAGCTGCCTCCTGCACATCTCCTACTGGGGATGTGCCCGCAACCCAGGTACATGCCCTTGACTGGAATCGAACCTGGGACCTTTCAGTCCGCAGGCCGACGCTCTATCCACTGAGCCAAACCGGTTTCGGCCACACATTGAATTTAGTTGTCTTACTTCTTTGTTTTCCTTTAATCTGGACTCAGCCTTTTTTATCTTTCATGACATTGAAATTATAAAATAAATACAGGCTTATTGTTTTGTAGAATGTCTCTTAATTTGGGTTTGTTCATTATGATTACATTCAGATTATGTATTTTGGCAAGAACACTATATAAGGGACTTTGTGTCCTTTTGAGCCTACACTCCTAATCCCTTAATACAGGTGTGAGGTACATGGGAGTGCAAGGGGCCAGTAGACATGCAGCTCAGAGCTCCAGAGATGAACTGTATTTAGAGACTGATTTGGAAGTCTTTAGCACACTGTTCATCTTGGGAGCCATCTGATTGATGCGCTCATTCAATGAATTAAGGATGGTATTCCAAGGGTCCTCAACATTTAAGGAATGCGCAAGGAGGAGTGAGTGACCTATAATGAAGATTGAGAAGGGCCTGACTGGGAGGTAGGAGGAGAATCAAGTGAGTTTATTATCCTGGAAGTCAAGAGAGGAGAAAGTCTCAAGCAACACAGAGTGGTCATCTGTGGCAGCTCCTATAGAAATGTTTGGTAAAATGAAGACTGAAAAATGTGCATTGCGTGTGGAAATTTGAGTTTGCTGGTCTTAGCAAGGGAGATTTTAGTAAAGAGAGATCCAGAAGCCTGACAATGGATAACAGGGTGTCCTGGCAGATAAAGGGAGTACAACTATGGGAAACCCAGGGTCAGGGGACCCTTGGAAGTCCAATTTCTCTTTGCTACAGATGTCTGGGGAACTCAGGGCAATTGCATACTGGGTCTTGAGTTCCTTCTTAGTTTTGGCCTCCTAGTACTAAGGGGGACATATATTTAGGATTATGGGTTAAGGGAGAGGCAATTTTTGGGGATCCTCTTTGTGCTCACATTAAGATCTACTCCTTGCCTAGCTGGTGTAGCTCAGTGATTGAGCATCGACCCATGAACCAGAAGGTCACAGTTTGTTCCCAGTCAGGACATATGCCTTGGTTTTGGGCTTGATCCCCAGTAAGGGGTGAGCAGGAGGCAGCCAATCAATGATTCTCTCTCATCATTGATGTTTCTCTCTCCCTCCCCCTTCTCCCTTCCTCTCTCTGAAATCAATAAAAACATTTTTTTAAGAGATCTGCTCCTTGGCCTGCAAAGGTAGGCAGTTGCACAGCCACTTGGAAGGATTTAGTCAACTTACATAAACTTCACCCAGTGTCTGGAACTGCTCTGGGTCTCATGGTATTATGGCTTAGGTGTGGGAACCTGCCTCTGCTCCCCTGGCAAGACTCAGGGCTTGTGAGATGGGCTTCCTTGAGGCCTTTGGAATTAACTATCCATTGTGTTTCATGATCTGATTTATTGACCAGGAAAGATTGCCTTCCCCTCTGCAGAGTGGATTTTTCAGGGGTCTTTGAGCTATATTTTTAACAAATGCATATTGAATACTTACTGTGTGTCAAACACTAGGTGAGACAATCGGGAACACACAGTGAATAAGGTAGACATGGTCCCTGCCTTTGTAAACTTAGTCTAGTGAGAATCATATAAAAAATAAGCAAATAGCCCTGACCGGTTTGGCTCAGTGGATGGAGTGTCGGCCTGCGGACTGAAGGGTCCCGGGTTCGGTTGCAGTCAGGGGCATGTACCTTCGTTGAGGGCATATCCCCAGTCGGGGGTGTTCAGGAGGCAGCTGGTTGATATTTCTCTCTCATCGATGTTTCTAGCTCTCTATCCCTCTCCCTTCCTCTCTGTAAAAAATCAATAAAATATATATACTTTTAAAAAGCAAATATATAAGTGAATAAAATAATTACTTCTTCCAGAAAGGGCTACTAATAGGATATTGAAAAGGAGACTATCAGGGGTAAGGAGGACAACTTTAGATTTATAGTGAATTACTTAAAATAATGCCAGCTATTTAATCAGGTGAACCCCAGATTATCAATGGTTTAAGACAATAGTAGATATTAATGCTTATATAAAGGCCAATCAGCAGGGCTAAAAGGGTAATCTGTTTCACATAGCCCTTCAGGGACCCAGGGTAATAGAGTATCTGCCATCTTTAACACATAACACATGGCCTGTTGGATAGCTGGCAGAGAGGGGAAGAGAGGAGATCTTACTGGGAAGTTTTCACTGTCTAGGCCTGGAACTGGTGTACATTACTTCTGGTCATATGTGATATGACCAGAAATCAGTGTGGTAGGCTGATAATGACTCCCAAAGATATATCCTTACCCTAATCCTCAGAACCTGTGAATGTCACCTTATTTATAAAAAGAAGTCTTTTTGGATGTTATTAATTTAAGGATCTTGAGATGAAGAGATTATCCTCAATTATCTAGTGCAAGCATGTCAAACTCATGGCCGCGTGCCTCATTTATTTGGCCCGTGTTAGCCTTTGAGTTTGACATACTTGATCTAGTGGGCTCAGATGCCATCACAAGTGCCCTCAAGAGAGAGGGAGAAAAGCAGAAGTGCTTTCCTCTGTACCACACAGCCATTAAATTGGCCTTTAATAGATATATCTTACCAACTTGATAGAATTTCTCACTTGGAAATTTTTTCTGAATACCTATTATGGTAGTTGCCATTATGCTAGAGCCAGGGGTGGGCAAACTTTTTGACTCAAGGGCCACAATGGGTTCTTAAACTGTACCGGAGGGCCGGAACAAAAGCATGGATGGAGTGTTTGTGTGAATTAATATAAATTCAAAGTAAGCATCATTACAGAAAAGGGTACGGTCTTTTTTTTCAATAGTTTTATTTCATTTCAAACAGGCCGGATCTGGCCCGCGGGCCGTAGTTTGCCCACGGCTGTCTAGACCCTAAATAAACAGGCAAATAAGCCACAACCTCTGCCCTCAAGAAGCATAGAGTTCAGGACAAGGGCGAGGTATATTCTTTATCTTGTATCCTGGAAACATTGTTGAACACTCAAGTAAGGTGATAGTTAATACTTAGTTAATTATCTGGTTGATAGCTACTATACATTTGACTTAAAAAAGAATGTTGCCAAATTTGTTTTTTCAGCTGCCCAAGGAACTCCGCTTCAAAGTATAACCTACTGGTTTGGTGTTCCAGGACAGTTTATCGTTAGTGGGCAGGGGAGCATGATGTGCAACCAACAGACGTCTTGTCCAGGTAAGGTATGGCATAAGGTTCTTCCTGGGAGGTGGAAAAGTATGCCAGGGGTTCAAAGATCTGTTCACTGCTAGCTTGCCTCCAACCTTACTGGCAGGAGAAGCATCAGAGGTTTGGAGGTTGGAAAATGGTTGAGTATGTGACTTCATTTCCAGACTGAAACCCAGTGGCAAGTCAGTAAGTTTCAGGCTTACTTTTAATTAATAATATATAGATATGGAACACACTTAGGCAACTCCCATTATTGGGAACAGTCACTTCCTGTTTGCAGCCTGAGCAGAAAACAAATGCTGCTGTTCACTTCCCCCTTCCCATTTCACACAAGCATCGCCATCAAGTTTGCACTATGCCCTTCAGCCTCACTAAGGATTCCAGCCCTGGGCTTTATGCCCTGTGCCCGTTAACAGTTGTACCTGTCCACAGCTGCTGTCATGTTACTGGGAAGTGATCATTGATTCTCAAATGTTGTCCACCACCTACTGGTAGACCACAAAGGGTCTCCTAATGGGCTGCCAACAGACCCCAAAATGTGGGCCCTTTCTTGGGTTCTTCTGGAGCATGACGTGCATGTCATTGGCACTTAGCTTTGTATACAACTGAAGGATACTTATTTGTAACCTTAATAGTTACCTAGTTTTATTTTATTTTTTAAATATATTTTATTAATTTGTTTTTTACAGAGAGGAAGGGAGAGGGATAGAGAGTTAGAAACATCGATGAGAGAGAAACATCGATCAGCTGCCTCCTGCACACCCCCTACTGGGGATGTGCCCGCAACCAAGGTACATGCCCTTGACCGGAATCGAACCTGGGACCTTTCAGTCCGCAGGCTGACGCTCTATCCACTGAGCCAAACCGGTTACGACAGTTACCTAGTTTTAAAAGGTTATTAAACTGTAATACTGTGCTCAAAATCAAAAATGTTGCTAAGGTGTTATAAATTTTTTTATTGAGTTGAAATTCATAGAACATAACATACAACAATTTAAAAATGTACAATTGGTATTTAGTATATTCACAATGTGGTGCAACCATCAGCTTTCTAGTTTCAAAATTTTTTATCACTTCATAAAATACTCCATAATTCCACACTAAGTAATAATTCCCCATTGTCTCCTCTCAACACCTCTTAATATACTCTAATCTGCTATTTGTTTCTGGATTTGGTTATTCTGAATATATCACATAAAAGGAATCATACAGTATATCACCTTTTGTGTTTGGCTTATCACACCTAGCATAATGTTTTCTAGGTTAATCCCAGTTATAGCATGCACTTTATTATTTTTTTTGTGGCTGAATACTGTTTCACTGTACATATGCATCATAATCTATTTCCTCATTCTTTCACTTTCAATCTATTTGTGTCTTTGTATCTAAAGTAAGTCTCTGAGTAAACCCTGACCAATGTTGCTCAAGTTGGTTGAGTGTCATCCCTTGCACTGAAAGGTCACTGGTTGGATGTACAGTCAGGGCACATGCTTGGGTTTCAAGCTCAATTCCCAGTGTGGGGAGGTGTAGAGGCAGCCAATAGATGATTCTCTCTCATCATTGATGTTTCTCTCTCTCTCTCCCTCTCTCTCTAAAATAAATAAATACATTTAAAATAAATAAAAAATTGGACAGTTATAATCATGATTGCATAAACATATTAACAGATATTCTACAAAGAAATACATTAAAATACTAAGTTTTTGTATGTTATGATTATATTATAGATTACTTTTAAAAATTCATCTTTTTCCTATTTTCCAAATACATATTCCTCATTAAGCATGTATTACTTTTTTATAATCAAAACAAACTATTAAGTAAAACATGTATCTCTCTATACACAGCTATAATTAATGCAGAGATTAACTGTAGGGTTATTTTCATGTTTATTTTAATCCCTCCACAACAGGAAATGATAAAGTTTCAACTGGTGGTAGCTGAAGGATCTGGTTTTACCATTATTCTGCCTGATTCTCTTCCCATGTTAGTTTGCTTCAGCATAATATTTTTCTTCCTCCTTCTCACTTATTCCTTGTCCACTCTAAGAAATAAGTAGCCCTGACCGGTTTGGCTTGGTGGATAGAGCGTTGGCCTGTGGACTGAAGGGTCCCGGGTTCGATTCTGGTCAAAGGCATGTGCCTTGGTTGCGGGCACATCCCCGGTGTAGGGTGTGCAGGAGGCGGCTGATCAATGTTTCTCTCTCATTGATGTTTCTAACTCTCTGTCCCTCTCCCTTCCTCTCTGTAAAAAATCAATAAAATACATTAAAAAAGGAAAAAAGTAACTAATTTTTTCTTTTCTTCTCAATTTACCCAGTTGTTGTCTATGGGCCCCAACCTGTGAGATATGGAGCCCCACCAGAAGCATACAGAGTCCCACCAGCGGGATATGCACCCCCACCAGCAGGATACGGACCCCCACCAGTGGGATACAGACCCCCACCAGCTGAATACGGACCCCCACCTCCAGGATATGGAGCCCCACCTCCAGGATATGAAGCCCCATCTCAGGGATATGAAGCTCCACCTGCTGGAAATAGAGCTGACTCTCACAATCCTGAGGCAGCCCATCCTGATGGATATGATGCTTCTCTTCCTTCCACCTCATCTCCTCAGCACCATTCACCACCTTCTAAGAACTAAACCCTGAAGATTCACCAACCAAAGTAGAACCCTAAAACTGAAGTCAGGATAAGAAGGAGGACTCAGGTATGTGTTTAAAGACCTTTCTTAAGTAGTTGTCCCACCCTCTGGAAGGGCAGTCTTAGGGGGAAAGTGAAGCTTTACTTCCATGCCTAGATTTTAGAAGCAAAGTCAACTCTTGATTAGATGGGCTAAAGGAAAAGTAGACTGATAAGGCTAATTCCCCCAATAATTTGGTTGACATTGGGCTGCATTTTTAAAAAATATGTTTTTATTGATTTTAGAGAGGAATGGAGAGGGCGAGAGAGAGAAACATCGATTGCCTCCAGTATGCACCTGGACCGAGAAGTGAACCAGTGATCTTTCAGTGCACAGGATGATGCTCAACCAACTGAGTCACACTAGCCAGAGCTGAGCTGCATTTAAAAAAATATTCTTTGACTTTGTAAAATGACAATTGTTCTCAATCGGCTGCCTCCTGCACACCCCCTACTGGGGATTGAGCCCACAATCTGGGCATGTGCCCTTGACCAGAATCGAACCTGGGACCCATGAGCAGGTGGATGCTCTATCCACTGAGCCAAACCGGGTAGGGCTGAGCTGCATTTTTTTTTTTAACATATCTTGAATGTGACTTTTTACTTTTTCCCCTCTACCATCCAAGAAGCATTTATTATGCTCACTTTTGTAGGCACTAAGATAAATGTTAGAAATATCAAGTTGAACACTTATTTTTCACAGCATTCTTTATATTAATGAAAGGATGGGACAACCTAAATTTCTAATAGTGACAGAATTTCATAAATTATAGTATATCCATACAGCAGAATATTATGCAGCATTGAAAATGATGTCTAGAGGTAGAAAAGCCTTTAAGAATACCAAAACCAATGAAGCAATCTAGGAAACATAAATATAATTTTGACTATATTGATTTGTATTTTAATTCTGTATGACCGAAGTTAAAAGATAGGCAACAGAGTAGGAGAAAGTAATTTCCAACATATATATTAAACAAATAACTTTTACTCAGAATATATGAACTCCTACAAATCAACCCAAAAGAAAAAATGGACAAAAAATATGAATACCCTATTAATAGAGGTGATAGAGTGGCTGGCCAAGAACATTTGAAAAGGTGTTTGTTCTACTCAACTAGTGTCAGGGAAGTGCACCTTGAAAAGAGAAACACTTTTTTATTTCCAAAGATTTACAAATATTAAAAAGATTGAAAAACTTAAGTGTTGGGAAAGATGTGGGAAATGGTTATTGTTATAAATTGTTAGAGGGAGTTTTTGTCAATATGCCTTTTTTAATTATTATGTTTTAAATATATTTTTATTTATTTCAGAGAGGAAGGGGGGGAAATAAAAATCAGAGAGAATCATTGATAGGCTGCCTCCTGCACACCCCTCACCAGGGATGGAACCCACAATCTGGGCATGTGCCCTGATGGAAATCGAACCGTGACCTCCTGGTTCATTAGTCAACACTCAACCACTGACCCATGTCGGTTGGGCTCGGTATGCCTTTTTAGAAAGAAATTCAGCAGTGCCTTTTATTATTTTCTAATCCTCACCTGAGGATATGTTTTTTGAGAGAGAGAGAGAGAGAGAGAGAGAGAGAGAGAGAGAGAAAGAGAAACATCGATATAAGGGAGAAACATTGATCAGTTGCCTCCTATATGCACCCAACTGGGGAATGAACAAGCAATTTAGTTATGTGCCCTGATTGGAAATCGAGCCCACAACCTTTTGGTGTATGGGATGATGCCCCAATTGACTGAGGCATGCCCCCTGCCCCCACTAGGGCCAGCAGTACCCTTTAAAAGTTAAAATGAATCTACTCTTGATTTAGTGGCTTAGCTTCTGGATATCTACTCCTGAGAAGTACTTGGATGTGTACACAAAGATGTAATTGGAGAGATTTCATTACATTCATTGTTTCTAACAACAGAAAATTAGAAATAACCTATAGGTTTATTAGTAGTAAACATTTAAATAAACCAAGATACATCCATACTACATATGCAAATCTTTTAAGTCTTATTGTTAAATGAGAAAAGCAAGTTTTAGGAAGTGTGTGTGTGTATCCTATCTAATAAAAGAGAAACATGGTAATTAGCCATACATCCGCTACCCTTCCCATTGACTAATCAGGGCGATATGCAAATTAACTGCCAGCCAAGATGGCGGCCGGCAGCCAGGCAGCTTGAAGCTAACATGAGGCTTGCTTGTTTCAGTGACGGAGGAAACCAACGTTCCCCACCTGCCTTGCCGGCCTCTGAGCTTGCAGTTTGAAACATTGTTACAAATATAAAAGCTAAACAAAACCCCAGAAACCTGCTTTCAGCCAGCCGGGTTCTCAGAGATGGAGTTG